TAAAGGAGAAGCAGCGGTAATAGATCCATTACGTGATGTGGATGTATACCTGAAAATGGCGGAGGAAGAAGGCGTAAAGATCAAGTACATTTTTGAAACACATTTTCATGCCGATTTTGTAAGCGGCCACCTGGAGCTGAGTCAGAAGACGGGAGCACCTATTATTTACGGTCCGCAAACAGAAGCAGGTTTCCCGGTACAGCTCGCTAAAGACGGTGAAGTATTTACCGTAGGCGACCTGGAAATACAAGCCTTACATACACCAGGCCATACCCTGGAAAGTACTTGTTACCTGTTGAAGGATGCCGCTGGTAATCCCTATTGCATTTTTACCGGCGATACGCTGTTTGTGGGAGATGTGGGCCGCCCGGATCTTTTTAGCGGCAACCTGAGCAAGGAAGAGCTGGCCGGTATGATGTACGATTCTTTACAGGCAAAGATCAAGCCGCTGAACGACGCGATTATTGTCTATCCTGCTCACGGACCAGGCTCCGCTTGTGGCAAGAGCCTCGGGCCGGAGACGTTTAGCACGATCGGCACCCAGAAGGCGACAAACTACGCCTTGCAGGACATGACCAGGGACGCTTTTATAGAAGAAGTTACCAGCGGGCTGGCAGACCCGCCAGCCTATTTCCCGGTGAATGCCCGCATAAATAAAGAAGGCTACCGCGCGCTGGATGAGGTAATGAGTGAATCTGCCAATGCCTTGTCCATCGAAGATTTTAAAGCCTCCGTGAAGAAGGGTGCCTGGATTTTGGATACACGCCCGTCCTCGGTATTTACGGAGGGTTTTATACCTGAGTCGCTAAGCATCGGGCTCGACGGACGTTTTGCAGAATGGGCGGGCAGCTTACTGCCGTTTTCACAAGAGTTGGTACTGGTTACAGAAGCCGGAAAGGAACACGAGAGTATCATCAGGCTGGCCAGGGTCGGGTTTGACAATGTCGCAGGTTACCTCGACGGTGGTTATGAAGCGTGGCTGGCCGCCGGGGAGAAGATAGATATGATCATCGATATAGAGGCCGATGAACTGGCTATGGATTTGCCGCACGATGACCGGCTGGAAGTGATTGACGTTCGTAAGCCGGCAGAGTTTGAAGCCGGGCATGTAAAGGGCGCTATGAACCTGCCATTAAATACCATGATGGACCCGCTGAACATTGCGATGGTAGAAACAGATCATAACCTGTACGTGCATTGTGCCGGTGGATACAGGTCTGTCATTGCAGCTTCTATCCTCAAGCGCGAAGGGTTTCATAACCTGCGCAATATAACGGGCGGCTGGGGCAAGATTAAGGAGGAAAAAGGCATTCCCCGCGTATTTCCCGAGAAAGTAAAGTAATAGATATTTTTTAATTGATACTTAAACGCCAGCTGCCTGTAAGAGTGTAGCTGGCGTTTTGCTTAAACCCTAATGCCGAACGGGTATGCAAAAGCCCTGTACATTGCGCTACAGGGCTTTAGAATGATTATCAACTAGTAAGTTTATCCGGCAGCTATCATCGAGATCTCCACGTTAACGCCTTTCGGAAGCCCGGACACTTGAACGGTTTCCCTGGCCGGGAAGTTATCGGTGAAATAGGTTGCATAAACTTCATTGACCTGGG